CATTCATTCTGTTACACTGTGAATTATATTTTCTGATCTACTGCTTGTTTTCTTGTGATTCAGGATCCCGTGTCATTACTGAAAGCATGCCTATTATTAATAGATATTACTAAAGCTTGCCATTTCTTTTAAAGAAGCCAGCATAACTGGAAGAGGTTTGCAGTCAGTGATCACCACTGCAATTAAAAAAAAATAATAATTTTTGGTATGTGAAAAACAAGCTTGGACATTTGCAAAACAACAAATTCTGTGCTCCATGGGAAAAACGTTTTGGGTAAACTGTTACAGACCAGGAGTTTTCAGACTTTTTGAATCTTCAGACCAGTGTTATTTTTTAGTGGTATTACTATTATTATCAAAATATGATATTTAAAAAATGTTACTTTGGCAACTACTGTAGCTGAAATTAGTTTTTTTAAAATATATCTGGGGTCCCTATATATATATATATATATATATATATATATATATATTAGGGATGTAACAGTATGAAAATTTGTTTTATGCTTCAGGGCTCCAGACTCATTCTTCCCACTGGTCGCTCTTTTGCGACTAACTTTCTCAGTTGGTCACACCAGCACATGATTTGGTCGCAATATTTTTATTTTTAGGGATTAATCAATGCATGCTGATGAACTTTTATCATAGTTTATAGTTATATGAAAATGAAAGTGGTTAACATTCAACCCCTTCTTTTTCATCAGTATTATTTGTGATTTGAATTTTGTGAACGGGAGTTTCTCTTTAGCTAAACCGGGCTTCGGATGCTTTCACTTTCGAATTCGCGATCTTGGTGTCACGTTTTACAAGAAAAGATAATTGTCTGATTTGCTTACATACATCTATACATATTTCACTTTTTAAGACTAAAACAAAAGATGGATTCATTGTTATTCTTAATTAAAAAGCATAACAACAATAAAACAGTAATATACATTGACAAACTAGCTTACAAAACGTTTATTAACAAAAATGAATATGACTGCTTGTTCACCTTTGGTTTAAGAAGCGGTCTTTTACTTTACTTCAGCATGAAAACCATCCACCGTTTCCTCAATATTCGCGTCATTTTTGCTGCGCGCACCTTCGCGCTCCTGTTGACGCGGCGAGTATAAACCAGGCTCTTCATTCTATAAGTGCTGCGCAGCTCAAACGAGTAGCGCGGTTTCGTTATGCTTTCAGTTTCGTTTGCCTTTTGATGTTTCTCATATGCGCTTATGAGTTAAACAATGCAGTGGTCGCGCCAGTGCGACCGCTCACAAAATGTAGTCGCACACTCTGGAGCCCTGTGCAGTACAGTATTTATTTATCCTCAGTTGTTCAAATCGCGGTAATCGATATATATATATATATATATATATATATATATAGGGACCCCAGATATATATTTTAAATATGCATGAAGGCCCTTTTATACAGTGAAAATATAAGTGTAAAACATTACTTGGAGAATTTTCAGTTTCTTTTACGTTGACTGTGTATTTTTTTTTCTAGCAACCATCAAAGTGCTTTTTATATTATTAACCTAAAGAGAAACATAAAATCCTGACTTTAGAATATGAATTAATAATAATATTCCTAATGTTTGATCAGTCTTTAGATTTAAACAGTAATAATGTCAAAATGTAACTGTTACGTGGGGAGCATGACACAATAGAGTTGGGGATCCAAATGCAAGGCTTTATTCACAAACGTGGTCAAAACAGGCAGGGTCGAGCACCAGCAAACAGTGTAATCCAAGGCAGAGGCAATGGTCAGGGCAGGCAGCAAACAATCTAAAAACAAGGAAACAGTCCAAGGATCAAAAACACAGGTAAAGTAGGAAACACGGAAATGGTAAACTTACAAGGAATGGCTATTCGATAATCAGCCAACTAGAGTGTGTGTGAGCATCTTTTATACTAGACCAGGAGAACACATGACAAAACTACGTAGCCCCTAAAGGGACATGGTGGTGGAAAAAGTGAGTGAAAAAATTTGGGGTCGGAGGAAAAAATATTTTTCAGATTTTTTGCGTTCTTTCACAAAACTTTTGCGTTCCCTCAAGAAACTTTGTGTTCCCTCGCAAAACTAAAAAAACAAAAACAAAAGCAGAATAGCCCAGAATATGAACGTAACCCGGTAAATAGAAAGAAAACGCTTAATTAATGGACTAAGACAGTGGTATAAAAAGGCCGAATTCGGTAAACAGTTTATTATTAATAAATTATAGCCTACATGAAAGCAGGTAAGCCCAGAAGAACAGAAGTGTTTTCCTCCCATAAAGAAAACGCAGCTTAATGAAGACGGTGATAAAAAATACCAAATATCCAATAGAAATTATTAAAAATATATTCTGTGTACATGCAAGCAGATGAGCCCATATGAGCTGAATTGCATGATAAGTGTTTTCTTCCCCATAGAAAACCACGCTTAGCGTGGCTTAATATAGCCTAAGAAGACAGTGATATAAAAAGCCCAAATTTTATATTTTATTAAAAATATACTATAGGCAATCAACGCAGTAATCCATTAAGCCAGTGGTTCTCAAACCTTTTAGTTCTCAAACCTTTTAGCCTAACATTCTTCTGAGCACCCCTACTTAGACTGCAGTCATACCTTTTCCATTAAGGGACAATATTTGCCCCCTTAAATTGATTTACATGTGCATTTTTACTGTTATAGAGGCAAAGTTTTTCTAGCCTTATTAATTGTATGTCATGTTTTATGTCATATTCTTCACATTTCATTAAGTGTATTATTAATATAATAAATAAAGCAATAAATGATGGCAAAACGAAGTGATACTTGTAGATTCAAAACTAAAATTGCCAGTAGGTGGCGGCAAGTCACTGTCTAATGAGCAAGGCGAAGCATTCATTGGACACGGATCATTCATTCATTCATTCATTCATTCATTCATTCATTCATTCATTCATTCATTCATTCATTCATTCATTCATTCATTCATTCATTCATTCATTCATTCATTCATTCATTCATTCATTCATATTCATTGGACACGGATCATTCATTCATTCATTCATTCATTCATTCATTCATTCATTCATTCAGTAACGAAGCAAAGTTGTAGTTATGAATGGGTTATTAATCAGTACTGACTCTCCGAACCATTAAAAGCTGCAGATTAATTCACTAACGAAACACCACTGTTGCTTGGAGACGCACACCAGTTCTGTTGCGGATTTCGTTGGAACTATTATTTCCTTGTAAAATATAACAAACAATATTGACAATATTTTGTTTAAAATGTAGGCTACATTTAAAATGTTAAATGTACACTTAATATTGCCTTTTTTGTTGAACTGTTATATAAAATCAATGTCACATTTGCAGTCTTTTGGATATTCAGGGAAAATTGCATTATAGGTATCAGAGTGAAATAAGAACGTAACAGTGTTCGCTTTATAAAATTTAGCAGTTTCGAATTATGCCCTACTGTAAGTGACGGAGTATTTTATGTTTCAGCGATTTGATCGCGCCGGCGTCTCATGCGCACATATTCATTGCAAACAGCGCGGCCTGTTCATTATTAAAATAAAACATAGAATCACCAATACACATAAAATGTTACACAGTCAATTTAAATAATCTGTATTATAGTCTGTGCCGTACTTTCAGTTTCGCTTTAAATTAGGTTTTGGCTTGTTTATAGCTATTCTGGGCTTGTCTGCTATCCTGTGCATAATAGGCTATATTTTATTAATAAACTGTTTACCATATTTTGGTTTTAGCCTACCGTCTTCGTCCATTAGCCTCCCTTAAGAGTTTTCTGTAGCTTAACGGTTATGGGGGAGAAATGTTGCATTATGGCTATCTGCTTTACTGATAGTAATGCTATTAATAAGGTTATTAATTGTTATTAGTATTTATAGTATTTATTAGGCCTAATACCAAATTGGGCCTCCAATGTCAGGGGCGTAAATTTCGTCTAACAGTAGGGGTTTTCCCGTGGAATTTGGCTACTTTATCACTGTTGCTGCGGGTTGTTTTTCATGTTCGCGGGTTGAAGCGGACCCAATAACGTGCATTTTAGCCCCCGGAACACGATTTTTACTGGGGTACCTAGTTTGGGCAAGTTTTGAGTAGCAATTGGGCAGGTTTTGTTATGAAAACCTGGCAACCCTTTCCGTCAAGCAGGTAACGTTATTATTGCTAACTTAGCGGACTCATTGAAAAATACATTGGCATCATCTGTATTAAAGAGAAAATAATCACTTCATCCGATGTTTAAGTGAATAAAATAGCCTTGACAGCCTTACTTACTGGAGTTCCACAAATATTGGCTTTGTTCTCTCTCACCGGACTTGTGTATGTGTAGGTGATGTAAAAGAGGAAAGCAGGCATTTGGACCAAATCACTGTGAGGCAAGGGAGGGGGAGACTCAAAATGTTTCTAAACTTAAAACGTATTTTTGCCCCGTTTGTGTTGTTTTACTACTTACACAAACAAAAGCGAGCCAAGGGGCACTGATATATATATATATATATATATATATATATGTATATAATTGTTATTATTATTACAATTATTACATTATTGTTTCGTTTGTTAAAATAATCACAAGATGAATATTCAGATTTTTTCACCAATTATTTAAAGTATAAAACATTGTTATTTACAATGCACACTGTTATAGTACATTAAGCCACATTAAGCGTTTTAGAATGTCCTAAAACTGAGCCTTAAACTATAAGCAAAGCTGACTGTATTTGAACTTGAGACCAAGTTTAAAATAAAACTCTAAGAACCGCTCCATTGTGAACATACGAGCTGTATGAACCACTAACTTGCATTTAGATACAGAAGAACTTTGCTTGTTGAATATTAAAAACAAACGAACAAACAAAAAATCTGGATCTCCATGTCTGCCATGCAAATCAACTGTTCCTGCTCATTTCCAGATTGGATCTCTTCTCTCCACTTTCCCTAATTGCAGATTCAATTAATAGATTCGTCAGTATTAATATTTTTATGCATAGATTTTTGCTTATGCTTAGAACACCGTGTGTCCCAATCAGACACAACGCGATAAAAAGTATCTTTTCCATGTAGTTTTTGTCCTAACCACCCGCGACAGTGACACGTGACAATAAGCGACATGGGATTCTATTTTAGGAACGATTTTTATTTTCTGCGACGTCGCGGCACATACAAAATATGACAGTGATAATCTCAGGTAATGATTATGTGCTTTGTTCAATGTTAAAAGTGTCTAATGCGAGTTTGAATATTATTTTGCGTTATCTTTATAGCCATAGTGAAAGCAACAATAGATATTTTACCTCAGATCTTGAAAATAAATTAAAGGAAACTTGTACGTTAAAACTGTGAACTCACTGCGAACCAACACGTGTATTCCATAACAAAGATATCACTCACTCACTCACTCACTCACTCAAAACTGTTCCGTCCATTCACATTTGAATCATCTATTTTCCATGTCCACTTTTCTTTTCTACACACTCGCCATGTTTTTGCCGTCACATCATATCTTCACTGGATGCGACAAATCATTGCAAATCATTTGAACGTTGTGTCAGTACCTTATAAATAGAACGAGTCAGCAGTTTACTGTTGGGGATTTGTCGTGTCGCGCCGCATCCATTGTTAACAGCATCACTGATTATAATGGGTTCTATTGTATTTTATTGCATCGCTCGCGTCCGGTGTAGACACGATGTAAGTTAATGTAGCTTTCTGATGCTACGTTTGAATTTTCATGCCACATTATTTGAAATTAGCACGGGCCAAACTTTTTTCTCTCGCGGACCGGATGTGGCCCTTGCGGGCCGCCTATTGAGGAACCCTGACTTAGACTGATCATCTTTGTACCTTTCTTCCTCAACTACAGGACTGAAGTGAAGACTAAATCACAGAGCTGGTTGAGTATTCAAAAATGAATGTAATCTCACTGATGTGTCAGTCTTTCTCTCAGGAGGAAAAGATCTTGACAACTGCTCCCATAAGAATCATAACTCAGCCCTTTTCTCTTTGCCAAAAAAAAACCCTCCTTCATCACTCACTCACTCAAAACTGTTCAGTCCATTCACATTTGAATCATCTATTTTCCGTGTCCACTTTTCTTTTCTACACACTCGCCATGCTTTTGCTGTCACATCATATCTACACTGGATGCGACAAAGCATTGCAAATCATTTGAACGTTGTGTCAGTACGTTATAAATAGAACGAGTCAGCAGTTTACTGTCGGGGATTTCTCGTGTCGCACTGCATCCAAGACAGCATCACTGATTATAATGAGTTCTGTTGTATTTTATTGCGTCACATCGCGCCGCTCGCGTCTGGTGTAGACTCGATATAAGTTAATGTAGCTTTCTGATGCTGCGTTTGAATTTTCATGCCACATTATTTGAAATTAGCGTGGGCCAAACTTTTTTCTCTCACGGGCCGGATGTGGCCCGCGGGCCGACTATTGAGGAACCCTGCTTTAGGGGCTCCGTACAAAACCAACCAATGAGAACAAGACATATGCAACCAGGGAACCAATCAGAACATGACACATGCAACCAAGGAACCAATCAGAACATAAAGGTGCGTTCACGCCATATCGGAATTCCCGATTACAACTTGTGAACTGGGAGTTTTCTGAGAGCTACGACTTGTACCACGTGACCGCTGTACCACCTGACCACCGTAGGCTCTGTTCAGGCATTGATAGTGTTGCCATAGAAAAGCATAATTCAGAGTCCGAGAGTCACGTGCTGTCATCTCGAAATTACGGTAATTACGAAATGGCGTGAACGCAGCATAACACACATACAAGGGTAGCACATGACAAGATCACATGAGGGGCAAGGAACACATGGGAAATGGAGTACAGAGTACAGGAGCAAGAGTCTAATGGAGTTGGATGCCCTCTAATGGATTTCATGGGCATTCCAGCTGGTGATTGAAACAGTAACTATTTATTTATTTTACTATTTTAACTTTATTTTTGTTTTAATACGTTTTCCTACAGAGTTGTATTTAAATCCAATTGGCTACAAAAAATGTAATGGACATGAGACTTCTGGTTATCGTGTTGTGGTTGCTTGGTTTTTCCCCCCTACATAAAAAAAAAACCTACAAGAATGATAAATTCCAGAAGTATGAGCAAAGGCGATTATTGCAAACACCACTAATAAATACATACCATGGGCAAACAAGCTCACTGTAATTAAACCAGCTTTGCAAGTTGGATGCGGCTGCATCTCTTACCTGGCTGTCTGTGTGGCAATGCCATATTTCAATTACAGATTACATGAAAAAAGGCATTTCAGCGGCGAGACTAACACGCCAGTCTAACATTGTCCAATTAAAAAGGAGAATTACTCTATTACTGCTTTGATAGATCATCTGCTCTGGAAAACTGCAAGCTTCTCGCTGGTTAAAGGTGGTGGTCTGTCAGCCGTGAAATCAATACAAGGCACATATCATAATTCATGCTTCCCTATGGTCTGAATAATAATTGTTTTAGCCATCACATTGCAAATATTTTCTTTTCTTCGAAAGGTGAAAAGGCTGTATACTGTATGCCGCATAATATACATGCTGCGTGATCTTTGGGCCTCCGGTATGTAATTGACGTGCACTATGAAGCTAGGGATTTTCACACATTTTATCCCTTTCCATTAAATTATATGTATTTGAAAAGCGCCTGCCCTTTGTTTGAGTGGTTCTGAGTGTCGGGTGAGAGCTATTGCAGGAAACAGCGCATGCTTTTCACTGGCTAGTGTGAACTTGAACTTTGGTACCAGTGCTGCTTTGAAACTCAGTCTAAATGAAGAGCTCTGTGAAACATGGCCTTGGGGTGTGATGGGGTCTGGCTATGACCCAGTTAAATCCTTGTGGTCGGTGGGCACCCAACATGCTGAAGAAGAGCTGGAATACATTAATTCCAATGCAGCACTCTCTGACCCAACTCGCAAATCAATGGAAATTAAAATGTGTGGAGACACATATGAACAGAGTAAAGCTTCATTTAACCTCTTCTGCTACTAGGGTAGAGTTGAGAGTAAATGTGCATAATGATGGTGTTGCCACCCACCAGCTCTCGCTGGCTGTGAATATTGTGTGCCTAATTAATCAGAGCTGGGAAATCATCAAGAGTACTAAAGGCTGGCAAACGCAAAGATATAACACAGAGCTCTATGTGTGCCTGATATGTCCACATGACTTACAGTCAAGTTGTAGTTACAAGTTCTGCCATAATTTACACAAACTCAAGTTGTTCCAAACCCATATGATTATTTTTCTTCCTTGGAAACCAAAGGTAGATAGGGTTCAAGTCAAGGGCTTTATTCCATGTCTTCTGAAGGCAATTCTGAGACAAATTTTCCTATTTTGCCCATCGATGGTCAAATCAAGTCACCTTTATTTATATAGCATTTTATATAATACAGATTGTTTCAAAGCAGCTTTACATGGATAAACAAGAAAACAATGATTAAATGATGCAAACAGAATTCAATTCTGCTGGAAATCAGCTCTAAAAAGACAGTAAATGGTCATTATTCAGTTGAAATCAGTTCATCGTTGATTCAGTTCAGTTCAATAACTGTAGAAAGTCCATAAATTACACTTTAAAAATGCTGGGTTAAAAACAACCCAACTTGGGTTATTTGGCAACCCAGTGCTGGGTAAATATTGGACAGAACACATGCTGGGTTATTTTGACCCAGCTGGTTGGGTTAAATGTTTTTACCCTCCATGCTGGGTTGTTTTATTTAAGTTAACTATTGTTTAAAAATTATTATACTGCTGGCTTAAAATGGTCTGGAAATTAAAAATCACACAGAATTACTAGAGGCAACAGCAATAATCAAAAGATGAACATTTATTCTTAATCAAGAACACAACGCATTTAATTTATTTGGGCGGATACAGCATAGTTTACAATATTACATACATTTAAACTCATTTAACAAGCATTTTCGAAATAAAAAATGTAACATTTAAAAGTAGCATTTTAATTTAAGTCTATTCAACCGTTCTCTCCAATCCTTTTTCATCAAAATAGTGCTAATTCTCGTGCCGGTGTGTCACCGAAATCTGATCCGGTGAAGGAACTGTGAACTTCAGACCGCGGCCTCGCGTTTCACTCGTAGCTGAAAGATGCAGCTGACGCAGCTGACTGACATCTCGTGTTTATGTTGCATTGCGTAAAATAATGTAATTTACACCACAGTAAAGAATTTATAAATTAAATTAAATGTATACAAACCTGTATTTCGCTGAAGAAGTGCACGAAATCGGCAGCGGCGGCCCTGAGAACTGCTCATGTAGTGGACTTATAAAGCCTGCGCTCTGACTGTAACTCAGCAGCTATAACTCTAAAACTACCCAGCATCTGGGTAAAAAATATTAAAAATAACCCAGTAAAATGACCCAACAAGCTGAACCCAGCATTTGGGTTAAAATAAAATAACCCAGCATTTTTCAGAGTGTATGGAATGAGTTAAATTAATCTATAAAGCAGCTCTGAAGAAAAAAGTGGTCATCATCAGCTCATTTCAGTTCATCCAATAGTGTCCATGCAGCCAAGTCAATAATTTTGCCAAATATTAAGTGTCCTCAATGGTGTAGTCAGTGATGCACAAAGCACAAGTCACACAGAAGTAGGGGTGTACAATGTATCCTCTACTATAATATTGTAATTATTGTGCAACAATGTGCGAGCTGACATTGAGTATGTCACTCGGTTTGTAAAAACACAACTTTAGTGCTCACTTTCACTGTGTGATTTAGCCTATTTTAATGCCCACAAAACTCAAGATATAAAGGGCCATTTTCCCCCACAAGTTTGTCTTTATTACATTTCTATGTAATGATATAGTTTAGCAAAACCACACAAGCAAGAGCGCTGCCATTTCATAATTAAATGTTTAAATAAAATACAATCTCACAGCATTATGCAATTGAAAATTCAGTGCAAATGCATTAATTCCACCTCTGAGCTGCAATAAAAATTCTGTGCAAATGTATCTAAATGCAACTTTGCACTTCTGCAGTGCAAAGATTTACATCAAACCGATAAAAATTATTTCGACACTTAAGCCCAAAATAAAGTTCTGTTTTTGTCATGCATGCTT